AGAAAAATGTGAAGCCAGATACAATGTTTATTATGTAATGAAATATAGTAACTTATTTATCAACCCTATAAAGTAGGCATTATTATTCTTCCTATTTTATAGTTGAGGAAATAAAGGCACAGAAAGGTTAAGTAATTTACCGAAGGACACACAGAGCCAGGATTCAAACTCAGGTCCTTGCTTTTAACTATTATACTATGCTTCCCCTTTATCTGGCCTGCAAGAGAGGGCTGCTTCCAGGAAGCTGCCCAAGTCACCAGCCTCCTCTTTCCTCCTTTGTCCACACTACTTTTTACCTTTGTCTCCTGATCCTGTCCCAGTTACGGAAGACAGAACTGGTTTCTTTGCTGGGTTGACACTTGTGCATTTGTTTGCCCTCATGGATACGTGGCTTCAGATGGCCCCCAGGGAACTAAAGTGGGATGGAGGTGGTGGGGGCGCTGTTTGCTGAGGAGTCATAGAATTGATTACTTCTGTGTTCATTGTGACTGAAGATAGCAGCAAGTATTCTCTCTCTCTCTCTCTCTGTGTGTGTGTGTGTGTGTGTGTGTGTGTGTGTGTGTGTGTGTGTATTTGAACTTTTGAGCATAAAGTGGGATGTTGGTGAGGGGTATAGTATAGTAGCTCTGGAGTAACATTTTCTACCACATCAGATGTCATCTTCTCACCAAGACCCTTTGTAAGCCTTTTGGATGCCAGGCATTGAGGTGATGTTATATACCCTGGTGGGTCTCAAGCCCGCTATTGGACTCCAACTTTCTAGGTAAGACAGGAGGAAGAAAAGGTCCCAAATCACATGAGCACACACAAACCTCATCTCCCACACCCGTGTGTACACACACTGACTGTACCCCTCTTGGTTTACTCCAGAGGGTCTCCATATTCCCATATGACACCTCTGTGTCAGGGAAATTATACAGGCTGGAACTAGAAGGAAATATGAATCAGAGGAGGAGTTCATGGAGAAGGAGAGGAGGAAAGAAGGCTCTTGTTCTTATTAATGGGGTCCTGGGCAGCTTTGAGTCCTTAAAGTAAGGAAGGGGCTTAATATGGAGCTCTCTAGCCCAGAAGCTCTTCAAGGTGGGACCAGTTTCAGGCTGATTCCCAGAATTCTCGGGTTCGTATGGCCCAGGAGGAAGTCACTTTGACTCAGTCCAGAGGTCTGCTTCCTCCAGGTAGCCTCACCAGGACTCCCGTTCGTCCAGTGTTTTTCTCTCTTTGCCATCTTCACCTTCCAAACACATGCATTTCAGAATCTTCTTCTTTAACTGTGCATGATATGTACATATACATATATATGAAAACTTTCCTGTGCACAAGATTGGAGACTATATAAGCTTGGAGTTGGTCTCGCCATGAAATGGAGAGGGAATTTCAGAGGATGCTGTCTTCTTTGGGTCTGGCCTGTTCTGTAGCACAGTGGGCCCTGGACAGGTGTTGGTGACTCAGGAGATTGCTCTGCTGGGTTGTGGAACTCAAGCGTACATGAAAGGAAGCCAAGTTTTTTTTTTTTTTTTTTTTTTTTTTGAGACAGAGTCTCGCTCTGTTGCCAGGCACCAAGCCGGAGTGCAGTGGTGTGAGCTCGGCTCACTGCAACCTCCACCTCTCGGGTTCAAGCAATGCTCCTGCCTCAGCCTCCCGAGTAGCTGGGACTATAGGCACGCTTGCCACCATGCCCAGCTGATTTTTTTTTTTTTAAGTAGAGACGGGGTTTCACCCTGTTGGCCAGGATGGTCTCGATCTCTTGACCTCATGATCTGCCCACCTTGGCCTCCCAAGGTGCTGGGATTACAGGTGTGAGCCACCGCGCCAGGCGGAAGCCAAGTTTTAATGAGCGCATACCTTACCATATCCACACCTCTTGACTACCATCTCTGGTGGGTGGTGGTATTGTCTTCCTTTTGTAGATGAAACAAACCAAAACCCCCTGTGGCTCAGAGAGCTAAAGGCCTGTAGCTAGACAGAATTGAATTCTAAGACCACGTAGTTTCCAAAAGAGATGGGTATGGCAGACTTTGTTGGCTGGTTTGAGTTTGGACTGGGAAGGCTGGTGAAGCTTCAGAAAAGGGTGTGCAGAAAGGAAGCAGGTGGCAGGGCTTGGGGGAGGGAGCTCTGTGGCTGCCTCTTATAAGCAGGTCTCTGCATAACTGCTGGGAAGGCTCTTAATTAAATGTGTAACAAAATAAAAACAGCCGGAGAGGAAACCTAAGTAGTGCTGCGTGACAGCGCACAGCTAATCGGTGTTCCTGGAACCTCTCGGCAGAGGCTCGTCAGATGGCCCTCGTCAGAGCCGTCACCTTTTATGCGCCTGGTAAAGGCTGCAGATGAGCCTGACAGGGGTGGTGTTAAATTGACACTCACAACTTGTTAGTATGTGGCTTACTTCTTATTTTGACATCCATTTTCCGATTTAACTAAGTCTAAGGAATTCAGCAAACATTTTCATTTCACACTCTAGTTTCTGGAAGCTATGGCTCCTTCTCATTGCTGTCCTTACCTCCTGCTCCCCTTCTCCCCCAGCCAGCTTCACATCACTTTTGTTGGAAAGGGGCTGATTAGTGGGCCACTGAGAAATGGGAACTGAAGTGGCAGCAGAAATCCCACTGGAGAAAAGAAATTTGCTCCCTTCCTGACAAATCATTTTATGTCCATCTTTTGTCAAAGCCTGATGAGTTGATTCTCCAAGTTTATGTGGGTTTTGATGCCATAGTCACAGATCCTGCTAAGCTGAGTTTTTATTTAGTGAGTGTGGATTTAATTTTCCCTCAAGTTTTTCAAGAAACAACACTTGCGGGTCTGGCTCTTGGTCAGCTTGCCTTCCCTATCTGCCCTACTTTTTCTTTCGCCTTGCTTGGTGTTTCTTAAAGCTCCCCATAGGGTTTAGTGTAGTTTCTCTGCTTACCCAGGTAGGGAGTGCCTCTTTCAAGGGGCTCCATCTTTGGTATGGTGGCGTGAGTATCGCTGGTGTAGACCGAGGAGGGACACTTGTGCAGGAACCCACTCGAGGAACTTCAATTTTAGCCTGTAGCTTGAAGATCCAGGTTCACCAGCCAAATAGCACAGCTTGGCTGAGAAGCTAGAATAGAGGCTTTCCTAGTGGGCTGTGAGTCTGAGAAGAAAGAAGGTTGGGAAGAGGGAAAGAACTGGTCTGAGGGAGGCCCTGACCCTTACGGGAAGTCTGAGAAGAGGCCCCTTAGAGAGGGTCAGGAGAATCAGATGCTGTTCTCTGGTGGAATAGGGGCTGGGGGCCTGCCGAGACTCTGGTGAGAGGACTCTCATCTAGGAGCAGCCTCAGTTTTGGAGCAGGAAGCTTTCCTCCCCTTGGAGGGAGGAGGGAGGTTGAGCACGTAAATGCTGGCATTTGTCTTCCTTGTTTTTCCCCTGACCTCTTGCTGGGGTATTCGTACTGCATTCTGGCCGTGCTTTGCAGGTGTGGGCCTGGAGTTCGCTTCAGGTTTTAGGAGGTCTGGAGTTGGAAAGATGCTTGCCCAGATTACATTATCACTGTTGTAGATGGGGAGCATGCACTCAGCAGGGGCTACTGAGGTTCCCTTGAGGCTGCTGTCAAGCAGTCAGGACCACTGAAGAGACTGCTGTCTGGAGTGAAAGGTGCCATGATGGAACTACACACCTGGGCGAGCACTGAGGGGCAGTGACCGTCCTGTGGTTGTGTGGAAGATGGCTGGAAGGGTGGCCTAGGGACATGCTGGCTCCGGGTCAGGCTGGGTGCTCTTGGCATTGCTCAACAGAGTTGACTACTTCATCCTTCTTGAAATCATCTTTATCTTTACTTTTGTTATGTCTTCTGTTTCTCTGGCCACTCCTCAGTCATTTGTGGAGATGTGAATACTTCTTTCCTTCTTTTTTTCATGTTGGTGTTTCTTAAACAGTGGTGTTTCTTTGATCTCTATCCTGGTTGTTTTTTCTGTTTACTCTACACATACACACTTACCAGAGTGATCTCATCTTTTGCCATAGCTTCAGCTATCCTCTGTATGCTGATTTCTTCTAATCTTTTTCTCCAACTAGAGAAAAGAAATCAATTTCATCTGCCACCTAAACGCTGCACCTGCATATCTAGCTACCTACTCTACATCTCCACCTAGATGTCCACAGGCCCCTTCAAGCTCAGATGTTACCGTTTTCCTCACACCCTGCCCTCCAGCATTCCCTCAAATAATGACGGGCACCATCTACTGAGTTGTTCTGTTGGAAATCTGAGAATTATCCCTTCTTGAGCCACACCAATTAATTGCCAGATCCTGTTGATTCTGCCTCCCAGAGGTTTCTCAGATGTATTCCTTTCTTCCCATCCCTATTGCCCTGTCCT